GTGGAACAGAGCAGCTCTGCTCTCAGCTGGCCTTGCTGATGCCGGCAGTCAGCCGCCAGATGAGCGAGGTTGGCTGGTTGGGGTGGGGAGGAATGGGCTCAGCTGGGCGGCTTCTCTCTGTTCCGCGTGGTCTCTCATCCTCATGCTGGGGGGCAGGTTACAAGACAGAGATCGGTGTGAGCATAGTCTCCCGAGACCCAGCTTGGTCTTGGCACTGGGTGGGTTCTGCCCCTCTCTGTTGGTCCAAGCAAATCGTGACGAAGGGCTAGGGTGATAGCGTCCCTCTCTCAGTGGGGAGAGCTGCACACATTGACACCAGAAGGTGAGTCCAGCTTGGCCCCAGTTGCTCTCAGCACAGAGTGCAAGCTGGGCTCTGGCTTCCTTCACCTGATCTTCCTCCAGTGTGGCCAAGAAGGGGAGGGCCCAGGCCTCCTGCCTCTTGAGAGCCTCTGAGAGGTGGGCTGCGTGCCTCTGGCTCCCACAGGAGGATTTTGCCTGATCCTTAGGTGTTGGTCTCCTCTGGCCCACAGAGTGGAGAATTTATTGCCAATATTTATCTGAAATTTATAGAGGGTTTAAACTGTTTCCCTTGAGGCTGTGATGGTAGGGCCTTTAAATTCTCTCTCTGTATAAGCATCAGTCTCCCAGGGAACGTGGCAGGAGGCAGATCTGCCAGTCAGATGATGTATTGGTCCCTGGCTTCAAAATATGTGAACAATTACAAGGTCATTAACTCCGACACAGAAAAGAGACCTGCCCCGGGCGTGGGGACGCCGCGCACCAGTGCCACTTGCCTGAGGAGCCATGCAGGGTAGGGGCGGGGGGGGGCTGTCCTGTTCTTTCCCTGTTTTGCAGGGATTGGAAAGGGGATGTTGCTGAGGGCATGGGGGTTCACTCTCCGACCTTATCACTCCTGAGCTAATGGCACTGCTGAAAAGCCAGGTCACACAAGCTGTGGGCCCGTGTGGTTAGGGGCAGTCCACACACCCCAAAAGCTCAGGGATCTGTGGCCCAAGCCTGGAGACTGAACCTGCCCAGCCCCCAGCCGTGACGGGTCCTTAGCTAATGATGGAAGCCAGCCGACTCCCACCACCTGGGAGCCTCGCCTCTCCCGTAACTTCGGTCCTTCTAGAGACATGGTGGGGGACCCGAGGGCCGAGAGACCTGAGGCTGCATTCACCCAAGAAAGGGCCTCGGTGCCACCTGCAAGCTCAGCACACACCAACGGGGCTGGAACCCGCGGACCCGGCTTGGGGAGGCCTTGTAGACCACCAGCAGTCTCACCAGGTTCCCGCGTGGAATCTCCCCAACGCCTCAAAGCCCCGGGGACAGAGTGGCCGTAAGTGGCTGTGGAGTCCCTAAAGGGAACACATTCATTCCACAGCTGTTTATCAAGCACCTACAGTGCGCCGGGCCTCGCTCTGAGCACTGGGAGGCGGCTGTGAGCAGAAGCGACAGAAACCCTGTCCTGCGTAGCTGAGCCGCGGGGAGGGGCAGGCGGAGACGGGGATGGACAGGAAGCGGCGCCATACTGAGGGGTGTGAGCCTCCGGTCCAGACACCCAGCCGCAGGGCAAGGATGGTGGCCCTAAACAGGACGTAGGGAGAGGACTCACACTGAAGGCTGATGGCGACATCTGAGGTTTATTTTTACTTTTTATGTTTTCAGACAGGGTCTCTCTATTACCCAGGTTGGAAAGTGTTGTGTGATCTTGGCTCACTGCAGCCTCAACCTCCCGGGCTCAGGCGATCCTCCCACCTCAGCCTCCCAAGCAGCTGGGACCGCAGGCACGCACCACCACACCCGGCCCGGCTACTTTTGTTCGTTTCTGTGGAGATGGGGCCTCACTATGCTGCCCAGCCTCGCTTGTTTTTTTAATGGACAAATGGGACTGTCCTTGTTCATGGGGTGTGGCGTGCCGCGCTCAGGTCAGGCGATAGCACAGCTGCCATCTCCACATTTGCCATTTCCTTGTGTGGGGGCTTGGCTCCTCCTCCCAGCTGCCGTTTGGGTCGTGGTCAGGTCCGCGGTCCTCCCTCAGCGGCACCGGCACCGGCACCGGCACCCGCTCCTCTCTGCCCGTGGTTTTGGTCCTTTTTTTTTTGAGACGTAGTCTCGCTCTGTCACTCAGGAGTGCAGTGGTGTGATCTCAGCTCACTGCAACCTCTGCCACCCAGGTTCAAGAGATTCTTGTGTTTCAGCCTCCTGAGTAGCTGGGACTACAGGCATCTGCCACCACGCCCAGCTAATTTTTGTATTTTTAGTAGAGACGGGGTTTCATCATGTTGGCCGGGCTGGTCTCGAACTCCTGGCCTCAAGTGATCCACCCGCCTCGGCCTCCCGAAGTGCTGGGATTACAAGTGTGAGCCACTGTGCCTGGCTGGTTTCGTGCCTTTAATCTCTCTGGCATTGGAGCTTTGAAGGCCGGAGGCAGCAGAGCATGCAGAGACCCGGGAAGGATGCCCGGCATGGGCACCGCCTGTGCCAAGGCCTGAGGGGTGCACGTGGGGGTGCTGGGAAGGCCACGGTGCTTCGAACCCAGGGGGTGGGCAAGGCAGGTGTCAGGAGCCCCTGGGGGGCTTCGTGTTCCCTGGGGTGAGGCCTGAGGACAGGATGCTGTGGTGGGTGGGGGGACCAAGTCTGTGGCCTCAGTGCTGGGGGTACACAGGGAGGCTGAAGCTGCTGGAGGCCGCCCCAGAGGCCGGTGTGCCAGGTGCTCCTGAAGACGGGCGGGTGGATGATGGAGGACGAGGCTCTGTCTCACCCTTGTGGAGCTTCCTCCATTCTGACCCCTTCCGGTGAAGGGCGGCTCCGAAGCTCTTTCCCCCGTGGGCCCCACCCCCTCCTTCTCGTGAAACCTGGGTGGTCTCAGGTTGAGGTGGAGACATCAGCAGAATGGGAGGGCGGCGTACGGGATTCACCAGCAAGGCCCCTTCCCACCGCGAACAGAAATCCCGATGCTGGTCTTGAAGGCAGAAAGGAAGCCCCGGCTCAGGGGCCTGGAAAACCCCAGGCTGGGCTCCCAGCAGCTCCAGGCCAGCTTTTCTCAGACAGGCTGTCCCACAGCAGAGACAACAGACAGAAACCCAGAAACCACGACGCTCCCAGGGCACCCTCCTGCCACGAGGTGAACCCGATGCAGAAACGCGGTTCACTCCCTCGGGACGCAGAGGCCAACCTCAGCCGGGCGCAGCAGCACAGACTCCACCGTCCCGGGGAAGGAGCCGGAGCCCTGTGGGTGACGTGGGACTACGGGCTGGGGTGTCCCGGGCCAGGCTGAGCAGCGAGGAGGCTCTGGGTCGCCGGACTGGGGCAGGGAGACTGGCGTTAGCCGCGTGCTGTGTAATCATCTCCTCGAGGAGGGAGTGCGGCTGGGTCTGTCCTGCGGCGGGTGGTGTGGGAGAGGCCGTAAATGATCGGCGACATGGACTCCCGGTTCTCTCCCGCCTGGGACTTGGCTTCCTGAAGGCAGAGAGTCGCGAGGAGGGAGGAGCCCCCTGCTCCTCACACGAGGGACTGGGGCTCTGGGGTGGGCTGACAGGCGGCCCCCGAGGATGCAGCTGGGGGCCCTGTGAGGGTGGCCCTCTTTGGGAAAAGGGGTCTTTGCAGACGTGATTAAGATAACGGCCTGGAGATGAGAGCAGCCTGGACCAGGATGAACCAGAGTCCAGGGACGACTGAGGGATCCGAGCTCCGCTGGGCAGAGGCTCCGCCCCGTGCGCCCCCACAGCTGGCACTGCCCTCGGCACCTTCTCAGCACCGTGGAGGGAACGGGCAATGCCAGGGCTCCCCACCCTTTCTCGGGTGGTGGTGGGGATTCAGGAGATGAGGCAAGCACAGTGCCCACCCAGGGCCTGGCACACTCGTCCAGCGCAGGAGGCTCAGGGCTGAGGACCTGAGCACAGCGGAGCTTGGGCCACGTGGATCAGACCCCTTTGTTCATGGTGACGTCAGCCTGTGGGAGGCACCAGCATTTTATGGGGTGGATGGGATGGGACAGCACAGGATAGAGGTGGATAGGATGGGACAGGGGCTGGCTCAGGGCTCTCCAGGGAAGCAGATTAATAGCAGACATGGGTTTAGATGTGGATGTTCATCTAAGGAATTGACTCACGGTTATGGAGGCTGAGAATACCGAGACTGGCTGTCGGCTGGCAGGTGCCCAGGGGAGCCGGTGGCGTGAGCTCCAAGCCTGAAGGCAGGAGAGGACCCACGTCCCAGCCCGAATCGAGCAGTGTGTGAACGCTCCCTTCCTCAGCCTTTCTGTCCTACTCAGGCCTGCAGGGGACAGATTTAAACACGGCTCCCACCAGAGGCCATGCACAGACCACCCAGCATAAGGGGAGAGCAAATGTCCCGGCGCTCTGTCCCCTGCCACGTTGACACAAAACTAACCCTCACAGGCAGGACAGTGCGGCGGGACAGGCCGGTGTTCAGTGAAACGGAAGCACGGAAGGATACGTAGTGATAGATACATCTATACTGTGTGGGGGTCGGAAGGCCGGGGCTGCGGGCGTTTATTTGCTGGGCTGTTGTTCAGACCCAGGCTGTGTGTGTTCTGGGCATGTGTGGGGCGGCATCTGCACAGCAAGCGGCTGTTTGTAAACAGATTTTTGGTGTGTTTGGGTGCTGGGGGAGGTGGGTGGTGCAGTGGAGCGGGGGGTTCCCTGCACAGAACAAGCACTGGGGGTGGGAACCACAGGATGAAAAACCTGTTAAGTGTTCAGGTCGGTGGAATAACTGCCCCACCAGCCCCCACGGCCGTCGTGTAACGCACAAGAGAAAGAGGAGCCTGCACCAGACACAGCCCAGACCTGCACCTTCTCCGTGGGCGGGGTCCCCTGAAAACAGCCCCCAGGAGGCAAAGCCCTGGGGCCCACCAGGCCTGCAGGTGCCCCAGGAACGGAGGGCCGGGCCCCTCGGCCTCTCACAGGCCCCTGGCTGGCTGGGCTGCCCGCCTGTCGGGAAGGCCGCCCACACCCAGCGCCGTCTCCCTGTAGGTGTGGCAGTGTGGTGGCAGCATGGAGGTGCTGCCCTGCTCCCGCGTGGCCCACATCGAGCGCACCAGGAAGCCCTACAACAACGACATCGACTACTATGCCAAGCGCAACGCCCTGCGCGCCGCCGAGGTGTGGATGGACGACTTCAAGTCCCACGTGTACATGGCCTGGAACATCCCCATGACGGTGAGTCCCCCACGGCCGGGAGCCGGGGCCACGCCCCAGGGTCGGGGTCAACGTCATGCTGGGTGCAGGGAGGCCCCGTGCAGTGTGAGCAGGTGTGTGCGGGTATGAGTGGGTGAGCTCTCTGCCTTCGAAGGAGCCTTCCTCACACTGGGAAGAGACCAGCTCACACCAAGCTGTTGTGGTGGACGTTTTTCTCTCAACTGCTGGTGGTTAGAAGCCAGGGAGGGGCGGCCTCTCCCCAACCTGGTGCCGCTGCCTCAGCCAGGGCCCCACTTAGCACCCAGCGCGGCCCCCTCCCCCAGCCCTGGGCAGCCTCAAATGTCTGGCTGTTTCGTGAACGGCTCATACACTGTGTGGCTTCCTGCCCTCAGCACCACATTTTCAGGTCACCCCCACCGTGGCTAAGTCACGTCCACGGTGTGAACGGGCTGGTCGTGTGGATCCTCCTTCGTGGATGGACGTTTTGGCTGTTTCCTGTTGGGTTTTGGCCTGTGAGTGGCTGACCTGCTTCAAGTCGAGGATTGCTGTTTGTTTTCCAATTTGTAGTTGACCAATTTCCCATAAAGAGCCTGAATTCTGGCTCTTCTCAAAGCGCCCCAGCCCCCACAAGCCTAAGAAGGGCAGGTGCTGAGACAGGAGGTCGTGACCCTCCACCCATCCCGCCACCCCCCAGCGTCTCTGGGAACCACCCCCTTCCTTCCCTGGCCACTGCAGGCATTGGGTCCCTGAGTTCTGGGAGGACTCATCTTAGAAACAGCCTTGTTTTTTGCATCAACCCCGGTAAGAACCAGATCTTAAGTCATGATCCAGTGTGCACACACATGTGTATTTACATCTGTCCACATACAGCACTTTGCATCCACAGTACCAGTCATCCTTCTCATTCACGATATACTACTTCTTAAAAATTCCACTATAGCCTATATTGGTTCACCACCCCCTGCTGGACTGCACCCTAGCATGTGGGCGACACGGCCTGGAGGGGACCCAGGTTGGACCATTCACCGTGCAAACCCAGCATCCCACCCCCAGATCAGCTCCCACGGCAGCTTCCGTCAGGCAGGTCAGGAGTCTGTGGACACGTGCACTTGTGTCTGAGCGATGAGAAGAGGGTACCCGGTGCTCCTACAGCCTTGTTTTCCATGAAGTGATTTGGAAAACGTGCAGGGTGACAATGTCCCCAAGTGTGTGGGCAACTGAGTGAGGGGCTCCAGGCCCCCAGGCAGTGAAGCCGGCAAATGGCTGTCACCTCCCTGTGTCCAAGGGCCCTGGCATAAGCCCCTTGACTAATCAAAGCCTCATAAGAAAGCAACGAGTTTCTGGTGTGATTGCCCCACTTTACCAATGAGAAACTGAGACACAGAGAGGGTAAGGGACTGTCCCAGGGCCACACACCAGAAGGTGACAGGATTCAAGCCCAGGCCCCGCAGGCCACGTCGTCTGCCCTCCTCACAAGGCCTGAGCCTGGAGGGTCCCTGGGCAGGAGGCAGGTGCTCCCTCAGGGCTGGCTGTCCATCAGAGAGTGCTGGTCCCACAGCCCCTCAGGCCCCACAATCCCAGGAAAACACAGACCCCACACTCGGCTGTGGGTTCTCACGGCAGAGGACACGGGTCAAAGTCAGCAGAGGGAAGAGACGCCCGGGCCGGGCCCAGGAGAGACCAGGCGCGAGCTCCCAGGTGTCCCCTCCCAGGGGGTCCCGTGGACTTGATTCTCCAGCACCCATGCATGACAACACGTGCCAGGCAGGGCCAGCCAGGAGGCCCCGAGCCTCGGTGTCCAGGGTCCTCACCAGGCTGGTCTCGTAGACATGGCTGACCTTGGTCTCCGCCCTCCAGCGGTCACACCAGGTGAGCAGGGCCGTCTTCTCCGGCAGGAGGTTCCTGGGCCCAGGTGGGTGCGGACGAGCCGGCTGCAGCAGGGGCCATCGGTCCAGGCCAGGGCTGGTCTTCAGCAGGGCCCTTCCCCTCCGGAGCAGCTGCCTCGGACCTTCTGTGGATATTACGACGCTGGGGTTCCCACCTAGGGGAGGCTGCTCCTGTGAGGGGACTCCGTCCCTGGAGCCCCCCCCCAACCTCATCATGGGGACAGTGACACTCATGTGCCCTCCTGCCTACTTCCGGCCTTGCAGAACCCAGGGGTGGACTTCGGGGACGTGTCTGAGAGGCTGGCCCTGCGCCAGAGGCTGAAGTGCCGCAGCTTCAAGTGGTACCTGGAGAACGTGTACCCGGAGATGAGGATCTACAACAACACCCTCACGTACGGAGAGGTAGCGCCTCCCCCGAGGGCCCCGCGCAGCCCGACAGGCCTTCTGCCCTGACTCCCGCGCACACGTGTGCATTCAGTGGGAGGCAGGCACATCCACGTGCACACACAAGGTGCAGGTTCACATGAACACGTGCACCTGCAGACACGCATGTCCATACACACCCATTCCTTCACAGGGACCTGCCTAGAGGCAGACGCACAGTCACATCCATGCACACACGTGTTCACATGCCTGATTCAGATGTACCTATGCACTCACATGTATGTGCACGCAGGCATGCATGCACTCACCTAGACATGTGTACAGGGACACATTCACAGGCATGTACACAAATCCATGCAAACATATGTACAAGTGCACGTGGATACGAGTATACATCTGCACACAGTTTTGCTCATGTAGACACAGCTCTTCACACACAAATGTTTCACTAACTGCATGAACCCCAAAGGGGCCTGCATGTGCACAAACATACAAGCACTTGTTATCAAGGAGCAATAATGTGCGTGTGTGTGTAAACATCTGCATCCACATATGCAGAGCCGTGTTCATACCCCACCACGCGTGCATGCAGGTGCCCACACAGACGCACACGATGGGTGATATGCACGCCCACACTCATACAGGCACATCACCTACAGAGACCCCGTCTCCGCTGGCCCCCACCTGCACTGCGCTCTGTAAAGCCAGCAAGAAAGTGCTGCTCTTCTGTCCTCTCCCCGGTCTATGCAGGGGCCAGGGTGCCTCCCACCCTGGGAATCGAGTGTCCCAGCCCTGAGCTGGCATTTGGATGGGGCAAGGAGAAGGGTCCCTGGGGTGGATCGTCCTCGCTGAGCCTCCCCTCCCTCAGCTCCCGGTCCACGCTGCGCTGACTCCAGTCCCTTGGGCACAGAGGTGTCCCAGGCAGCGCTGAGAGTGCATCGGTGTGGGGCCCCGTCCCCCAGCCTCCCTGTGCTTCTGCTCTGCCCACTCCATCCTCCATCAGCCAAGCTCAGGCACCGCCCACCCAGAGCAGCTGGGCGTTTCTAATTTGTGGTCAACATTCTCAGCGGTCCCAGTTCAAACCTGTGTGCCCTCTTGCGGTGGCCATGATGGAGGGGTTAGCTGCCGCCGCAAACCCAGCAGCCTGGAAACGCAGTGGACAAAAGCAATAAGCGTCTACCCTTGCTCACAAGCCAGGGCCACCTGGGCAGTGCTGCTGGCCCGGGCCAGGCTGTGCTGATCTCGGATGGGCCCGTTCTGGTGGCTGGAGGTTGGCTGCCCGATGACAACTCACGCCCCAGCAGGCTGGCCCGGGCTTGTTCTCAGAGTGGTGTCAGGATTCCTTCCCAGACGGAGTGGAAGCTGGAAGGTCTCCCAAGGATCCAAGCCAAGGCCAGCCCAGACTCCAGGGCCGGCGAGCGGTCTCTGCCCACTCAGCGGGAGCTGCAAGGGTGCAGGGAGCAGGCGGCAAGGCAGGGAAGCCACCCCGGCTTAGGGCCTCCATCCCTGCTGCTGAGAAAGGCCGACACCGCCGTCCTCAAGCCTCCCCTATTGACCAATGGCCACGTCTCCATCAGTGACAAACTCAGTCGGCCACCCGTTCCCGGGAGGTCCAGCAAGTCCCTTCCCAGGCAGCCCACCCACCCGGGCCCTCCACAAGCCCCCCTCCTCCGGGGAGCACCTGCTCAGGTGCTCGAAGCTGTGGGGCTCCACCCTCAGGTGACCCTGGACGTTCTCTGCGGCTTCTGGTTGCAGGTGAGAAACAGCAAAGCCAGCGGCTACTGCCTGGACCAGGGAGCGGAGGACGGCGACCGGGCGATCCTCTACCCCTGCCACGGGATGTCCTCCCAGGTAGGGGCAGCAGCAGCCACCCATGGAGCTCCCAAGGGGAGCACCCCAGGCCACCCGGACCCCACACCCTGGGGCAGAGGCCCGGGGCCAAGCCAGAGTCTGCTTGATCACGTAAGCCCAGGAATTGAGACCAGCCTGGGCAGTGTGGCGAGACCACCCCACCTGGGCGGGACTCCCTGCAGTGCGGGCCCAGCCCCGTGGAATCGGCGGTCAGGGACTGGCCATCGTGAAGGTCCGAGCCATTCTGACCACAACCTCCATAAAGAGCTGGGCATTTCTAGCTCCACGGGAATGCGTGTTCCGCTCACACACGGCACTTTTCAGTGAGCTCTGCATGTCACCCAAAGTAAACCCGACTCCTGTCCTCCCCAAAACGAGTGGGGCCACACTCTGAGTCTGAGCCCCGTTCCTGACGTCTGTCAGGAGCCTGGCCCTGCGGAGCTTCTGGGCGCCGTCCAGCTCACATCCCCACGTGGGCCCTGCCCGGCAGGCCTCTCCCACCCACAACAGTGTTCCCAGGGTGGGAGGCTCCAAGGCAGCCGCTCAGGGCCCCATTTGCAGCTCGCGGCAGCTCGCACAGCCTTTCTGTGCTTACCAGGGAGAGCCTGGGCTGGAGCACGGGCCATGGCACCCCCGGGCCTGGATGCTGCTCACACACAGCCCCGGTGGTCCTGTCCCCAGCTGGTGCGGTACAGCGCTGACGGCCTGCTGCAGCTGGGGCCTCTGGGCTCCACAGCCTTCTTGCCCGACTCCAAGTGTCTGGTGGATGACGGCAGGGGCCGCACGCCCACCCTGAGGAAGTGTGAGGATGTGGCAAGGCCCACACAGCGGCTGTGGGACTTCACCCAGGTCAGCCATCGGGGAAGGGGAGCCGTGGGGTTGGGACAGGGCCGCTGGGACCCCTGGGCGCCTCTGCCACTAGAGCCAGCCCACTGGGTGGGAGCTGGAGTGCCGCAGTGGGTGGTCAGGGGATGGGGCCTTGGATCAGCTGCTCCCTCGAGGGCCCCGATGCTCGCAGAGAGGGCAGGTGACTGGCCAGGGTCACACAGCCAGAGAGGGGCCGGGCTGGACAGTCTGATCATAGCCCTGCATCTGCCTCTTCCAGCCTCAGGTGCCCAGGGTAGAGGCAGGATTTAGGGAGGGAATGAGGTGTGATTCCAATCTGGGCTGCTCTGCAGGAACGATGGGAGATCCTCAAAGCTCCACTGACGTCAGCCCCTTCCTGGTCCCCGGGTGCTGCTGTGATGCTGAGTTTCCATTCGAGCTGCCCCAAGAATGAGCACGAGGGCTGAGAGCACGAAGCAGCCTCCCTGGGGTGGGGGTGGGGGACGAGGACGCCTGACCCCTGGCTGACTTGGTGTGACTGTCCCCACAGAGCGGCCCCATTGTGAGCCGGGCCACGGGCCGCTGCCTGGAGGTGGAGATGTCCAAAGACGCCAACTTCGGGCTCCGGCTGGTGGTGCAGAGGTGCTCGGGGCAGAAGTGGATGATCAGAAACTGGATCAAACATGCACGGCACTGACCCCGCCTCTGCCTGGACCCCCACGGACCTCGGGAAGGCGCTGGGCCAAGCCAGTGTCGCTGAGTGGCCGGGGTATGCCCAGCAGACACAGCAGGGCAGGGCTCTATGTGCGGCCAGGACAGCAGAGGCCAAGGGGCCGGGGTGTGGCTGAGTGACCAGGGTGTCAGCCACTGCAGCTGGAGTACAGCTCCTCCTAGGACAGGCGGCTCTACCCAAGGGAGGGCGTCTGGGGACAGTGACGCCGACTCAAACACGTGCCTTCTCCACGGTATCTCCTGGCCAGGCTGCTGGGACGGCCGCCACCTCTGCATGTACCACAGCCCCTACGCCCCACAGGGTGGCCAAGCCCCAGACCACACGCCAGGCGGCGCCCCGGCGTCCTCCACCCACGGCCTCCCATGCTCCAAGCAGCCTCCCCCAGCCCTTGCAACCGCTCAGCCCTCCACCCAAGACCTAAGTTCACACCTCACAACACAGCTCCTCATGGTCTGGTAAGAGGGGTGCTGGGGGACATGGATGGTGACAAACCTGCAGCTGTGTCTAGGAGGCTGGTGCGACTGCCTCAGCAGAGACCAAATAAAGAGGATTAGGCAGCAGCGCTGTATGTGTCTTCCTTGGAGCGGAGCTGGGGGGTGGGGCCTGGGCCCTGCCACAGCCCAGCCCCTCGCCTGTTTTAATAAATACTGTTTTATTGGCGCCCAGCCATGCCCATTTGCTTACTATTGTCTGTGGCCGCTGTGGGGCTGTCGGCGCAGAGTTGAGCCATGGCTGCGTAGCTCACAAAGCCGCAGACGTGGACTCTGGCTGACGCCTGTGCTGGGATGTGGCCCGACAGGTGGCCTCACGTGTGCAGACAGACCATGAACTCAACACAGTCAGAAAAATGGAGGAGAGCACGTCCCCTGCAGCCGCACATGGCAGCTGGAGGCCGTCGGCCTGAGAACTCGCCCGAACAGAAAACCAAACCACGTGTTCTTATTCATGGGAGCTGAACACTGTGTGCACACGACACAGAGAGGGAACAGCAGACTCCAGGGACTCCAGAGGGGCGGGTGGGAGGAGGACGAGGGCTGGAAAACCGGGGGACTCCAGAGGGGCAGGTGGGAGAAGGACAAGGACGAGGGCTGGAAAACCATCTGTCGAGAGCCGCGTCCACTCCCTGGGTGAAGGGATCGTTAGAAGCCAAAACCTCAGCATCACGCTATATACCCACATAATAAACCCACACATGTATCCGTGAATCTAAAATTTAAAAAAGGCCCGGCACGGTGGCTCACGCCTATAATCCCAGCACTTTGGGAGGCTGAGGTGGGTGGATCAACTGAGGTCAGGAATTCGAGACCATCCCGGCTAACATGGTGAAATCCCATCTCTACTAAAAATACAAAAATTAGCCAGGCATGGTGGGTGCACCTGTAATCCCAGCTACTCTGGAGGCTGAGGCAGGAGAATAGCTTGAACCCGGGAGGTGGAGGTGCGGTGAGCCAAAATCACCCCACAGCACTCCAGCCTGGGCCACAGAGAGAGACTCCATCTCAAAGAAATAAAACGATAGGCAGGTACCAAATTTGGCAAGTCCAGGCTCCGAGTCTCCAGGGAGTGCGGACGCTGACCTGTTGTCACCAGTCGGAGTTCAGCCTGCAGGGACACTTCATGTCCACTAGCCCTGGGGGAGGCGGTGGGGCCGTGCTTCACTGCTCTTTCCAAAGCCCGGGGTGGTGTGTTCCTCCCCCAGCACCCTGCCACTGGGGTGCCCACCCACCACACGGCCCCTCTGCTCTGACCAGGGGACGATGAGTCGGCCCAGGCTCACAACTGCGGAAACCCCTACACACACCCACGGGCTGCAGGGCCTGGGAGCTCGGGCTCTGGCGGTCGGCGGGGGGCCTGCGGCAGCCAACTCCAAGCTCAGAGACGGCAGGCTGGTCACCTGAAATGGTCCCTTCCTCTGGGACTCCCCGGTTGCTGCTTCCTGTTCCTGTAAGAAGCCCTGAGGGGTCCCAGTTCCTCTGTTCTCAGCAGAGAATTCTCCCAGCCCCAGCCCAAGCCTCAGCCCTCTGCTAGTCCAGACCTGCCAAAACTCTGTGGCAAAACACGGGCAGTGAGTGGGGCCCCAAAAGTCAGTGGCTTGCCAGGGACCTCCCCCCACCGGCCCCCAGCCAGACTCACAGGACTCCAGAAGTTTCCCAGGCGAAGTCAGGATGTGCAGAGTCCCTTAGCTTGCAACGCGCAGTGCCTGTAGTTTAGACCAAGAGGATAGCAGGTGCAAACTTGGCTCGCTCACACTCCAATTCATTAGGCAAATTGACAGGCAAGTCAAAACTGGCTTGTTCGTAGCCCACACAGGATCCCACGTAAAACCTGACACCTGGAAAATTACTCTTGAATCCTCAGTAGAACTCCCGCCCTCCAGAGAAGTGAGCATTCCTCCTGCTGATGGAAGCCTAAGGCGGCCCCACCTCACCTGGCCCAGCCCCTCCTCCCTGGCACCAGGAGGAGTCCCAAGGGGAGCGCCTGGGGAGGCGGGTCCCTGCAGGGTGGTGGAGGTGAGGCACTGTCCACGCTTTCCGGACAGGCGTGACCACTCTTCACAGGCGTGACCTCGACGTGGTGAACACTCTGCTTCACCAAAGACACCCCCAAGCATCCTTATTTCCCTGACTATTCCCCTCTGTTCTTACCTGCTTCAGTGGTCACACGCCTCTTGAGACCTGCCCCTGTTCCGGAGAAAGTGCCCATGGATCCTAAAGATCATTTACTCTAAAGAGCTCCCCACCCTCGCACGGGTGGGCCAGAGCTGGAGACGTCCCAACATCTGCTGCTGCCGCTGCACCTGCTGCCACACGGTGTCACTGTTGAAGACGGTCCCTGCGCAGCTGCGTGGCCAACACTTGGCCGTGGCCACCAGGACATCCTTGCTGGCCTAGACTCACGCCTGCCTCACAGGGTGCCCCACGTGGGGAGCAGCCATACCTGTTTAAGTCGCAGTGACATGCTGATGTAGATCGGATGCTTGTCCCCTCCAAATTTCAGGTTGAAATTTGACCAACATGGAGGTGGTGCCTGCTGGGAGGTGTTTGGGTGGATCCCTCATGAACAGTCCAGTGCTGTCCTCATGGTAACTGACTCTAGTAGTTCCCAAGGGAGCTGGTTGTTAGAATGGTCCTGGCACCACCCTCCCTGCTCCCTCCCTCACCACGTCCCCTCTGCTCCGAGTAGAAGCTCCCTGAGGCCTTCCCAGAAGCAGATGCTAGTGCCAGGCTTCCTGCAGGCCTGTGGGCCAATTACACCCCTTTTCTTCATGAATTACCCCGTCTCAGATGTTCCTTTATATACAGAGCAAAATGCCAAACGGACGGAGATACGCACTTGCCCTGACCCCAGCACAGTCCCTGGGCTCAGGAAAACGTCAGCGCCGTCCGCGGGCTGTGCCGTCCGTGGGCTGTGCCAAAGCCACTGTGATCCCCTAAACCCTTTGACACGTGTGGACACGTCCCTTCCTGTAAGGCACAATCACTCCTCCTCATGGTCTTCTCTGTCCTGTTTCGTAACCATGGGTCCTTGGTTGGGGTCACCCCAATTGTATCAGGTGGGATCCAACCAGTCAAACAAAGGGGATTTAATATGGAGGACCGATTGCCCAAGTGAGGGAAGAACCGAGGCTCTGACCAGGGGACGATGAGTCGGCCCAGGCTCACAACTGCGGAAACCCCTACACATACCCACGGGCTGCAGGGCCTGGGAGCTCGGGCTCTGGCGGTCGGCGGGGGGCCTGCGGCAGCCAACTCCAAGCTCAGAGACGGCAGGCTGGTCACCTGAAATGGTCCATGGTGGACAGACAGACACCACAGCTGGCGACGCGACACGCCACGGCTGTGCTTCCAAGAGTTGGTGTCAGACACTGGCCAGCACACCCCCAACTCACTCTCCCAAGACCCCCAGACGCAGAGCATCTCCCCAGTCCGACGGACGCGACCGACGGGACGCACAAGAGATCCCTTTCAAAGCAAGGTCTACGGAAATGCCAGTTCCTGTCTCAGATCTTCAGAAAAACTGCGGCCATTCTCTTCTCCTAAGAGGAGGAGGAGGAGGAGGAGGAGGGAGGGAGGAAGATGTTTAAATAAGGGTGAAATTTTAATCCCATTTATTTCTTCAAATACCTCAGGTAGTACTGAGCACTCCTGTGCCCATTAAGGAGAAACAGAGGCTCGGAGGAATAAAACGACTCTGCACAAGACACACCGTCACACAGGCAAACCCGGGGGTCCCACCCAGATCCATGTGACCCCAAACCTGCGACCTTCCACCCTGCCTGGCTGCCCAGTATTTTTTTCTTTTTAAACAGTCATGTTCTAAATGGCAAGGATACAAACAAATAGAATTTAATAAAACTTAATAGCAGGCCTGCTTCTCACATTGATTCAATTAAAATCTGGCTCTGCAGCAGATTCAGAAAAATCCATGTCGTCTGTTTGACACGGTTCATTGGCACCTGACAAGCAGGGCTCGGAGCGGCCGTTACGGGAGCAGGCACTCCCCCAGACCGATGACCGGGGCTCGGAGCGGCCGTTACAGGAGCAGGCACTCCTGGTGGAAGCAGTGAACAAACACACCATTCTTCTCCTTTCTTTGCTCTTGATAGAGATCATGGGCGCCCGAATTTAATTTTGCCTCTAATAAAAATGCCCATCGCCTGATGAGTCTCATTTATGGCTCAGACCGACTTCAAGAGTGGGTCCCACAGGAAGCAGCGTGCAGGGGGGTCTGTCCCCAGGGCAGGGCAGCCTTGAAGGGCCCCAGCAGGGGTGCAGGCCAGGCTGGTGTTGACCAGGGGCCCAACCACACAGAGCGTGGGCGTCTCCCAAGCACCCCATCTTCATCACAGGCAAGTTTAGCTCTGGTCGAAGCAAGGGGATGGTGAAGGGCAGACTCCAGGGTGGGGGCCCCTCTGAGGGGGCTGCAGGGACAGCTCTGGGGTCTGCAGAGAGGGGCAGCAGCAGACACACCTGGGCGCCCTCTCCTCGCTGGGCAGCTTTGGGGAAATTACTTTCTCCTTCTGAACTGTGTTTAATTCAAACAAGGAAGAAATAATACGGGCTCCGAAGCTTTGCTTTGAGGATTAGGAAGAAAGCACATCATAGCTGTTACATTCTTGGGTGGTTTTGATTTTTATTTGCTTCTTGTATTTCCTAAATTTTCTGCAAAGAAACGTGTCTGCAGTGAAGGATAATTGGCTCTTTTGTTTATTAACATTCATTTGACACCCACTGCACAGCAGGCGCTCTCCCTCACAGCAGCGGCCCGTTCCCGAGCGGTGCCCGGCTTCCCGCCCCGAGACACAAGGAGGGCTTCTAGAGGAATCACCGTTCACCGTTCACTGCTGTCCGGCAACCAGGCCCCGTGCTGGAGCTCACTGGCTGACCCACAGGCCGCATCTCACACCACGTCCTCCCCACCTGCCAGGCACTGGCTCACCAGCCTGCTGGGGCTGTGACTGCCCCAGTCCCAGTCACAAGGTCCTCCCATCTTTGTGCCCAGTGCTGCCGCAACACAGGACCACAGCGGGCCGCTTCAGACAGCAGAACTGATTCCCTCA